TTGTTTTAATTAGCAAACCAAGAAAGCACGTGGCCGCTTGGGTGAGGAGGTGGCTGTTTCAAGCTACAGGGTAGGAGAGGGAGAGAGGGCATAAGTTAGGGTGGATGTTTTATCAGGGAACAAGGAAACACGCACTTGGAAGAGGAGCTGGAGCTTCCATGCCCTCCCTCAGTGCAGCGCAGATTGTTCCTGAATATCTGCGTTTTGACGCGGGGTTCTTTAACAGAGCTTCCTCTCCTCCGATGCTCTGTGCAGGGATGAAGATCCACAAGTGCCAGTACTGTAACAAGTCCTTCAGCCGACGAGCCCACATGATGGAACATCAGCGCTCGCACACCGGCAACTACAAGTACCGCTGCCCCACCTGCAGCAAAGGCTTCACACGCCACAAGTACATGAAGGACCACAAGTGCCGGCTGGGCTCACCCAAGGACAAAGACCTGCAGCTCAGGAAGCCCCAGAAGAAGCGGGTGGCGCGGGGGCGCAAGGCGGGCCTTTCCCTCCCCAACCAGCTGGCCCTCGCAGAGCTGAAGGACGGTGCCACCGGGGAAAGCTCCCGGGAGGGTGGCCCGAACAAAGAACGGTTCCAGGAGTCGGACGCTGTCTTGTCCATTGTGGTGGGGGGGTCAGGAGCTGCTGAATCGGACCTTGTCGTTCCTGGGCAGCACAGCAGCGTCGCATCCAATTTGGCCCTGGCGGAGCTGCAGACTGCCTCGGACGGCCCCTGCGCCATGCTGGCTGTCCCTGTTTACATCCAAACAACTGAGTGACGATGTGTAGGGCCACTGTGTGGCCGGGGCCCTGCTGCTGGGGGTGTCAGACTCAGTGCTGAAGTTCATCACAGTGAAAAAGACCAAAGCTCTTGTGGGGAAGTAGATGGATATGAGAGAGAATGGCTTTCATTTCCACTTGCTCTTCCCTTCCTTGGGCAAAGGACTACTTGGAAGCCACCGATGGCTAGAAGGCACTGAAGGGAATAGCTCCATATTATCTTGTCCTTCTACATCAGTGGTCAGCCTAGGGCAAGAAGGACTAAGATCCCTGAATCAGGGTGAGAAAAGGAGCATACAGCCTCACAACAAACAGAGCTGCTGAAACCAGGTGGCTTTGCAAATCACAGCCTGTCCCATCTGTGGTTTTTCTGGCCTAAAATCTGTATTGCCCAGTATTTGGGTGGCCTTTCTGAGAGCAAACAAATGATCCTTCCTAGTGGAAGCAAGTTCATCCTGAGATCCTTTGGGAACACTGTTCAGAAATACCCTGAATGACATGTCTGCTATCTTTCTCTTCTCTGTCTCTATCAGTAGAAAGATTGCCTTGTCTGTACTACCTGTGTTATAAACACCATGGACCTGAAGTGCTGTGTGGAGTCAGTGGGTAGGAGCAGCTACATGGCAGCGGTGCCAGGTCTGGGTGCATGTGTGTGCTGGCTCTTCTGTCTGCTTGGTGTTCTCTCCCCAGCGTTTGCTCTTTTCATGGTTTTTCTTCATATGCAAGGATCCCAAAGTGCCTTAGACACCAAGGAGTCAATTCTCACGAGTGGTAAACGTGACACCTCCTTTCCTGACACCTCCTGTGTATAGCAGCGGAAACTAAGGCATGGAGGTGAAGTGATCTGTCCAGGGTCACGCAGGAGACTTGGGATACATCCAGGAACCAATTTTCTTGTATCAGCTCCAGCCTAAGTGCTGCAAGATACTTCTGTACACGTCCTCTTCTCTGTTAGCTGCGTCCCAGCCTGTAGATTTCCTTAGCTCAGTGTTATGGGCCAGTTATTAGGGTTTCAGTGGACCACTGGCAAGTAGGCAGTCAGCATAGTGAGGGAGCAGGAAAGCCTGGTGTCACTGGGACAGCTTCTCTTGTCCGCTCGGCTCCTGTTCCTTGATTTCCCAAGCAGGAGTCCCTCCCTGTTCCTTTCCCTCTGAGCTCCCAAGTAGAGTCTCGTTTTGGCAACCTATTTTTCCAGAATGGGAAGGGGTGAAGGAGCAGTGCCAGAAATCTTGCCTGTACAGTGAAGACTGTGCGAGGGAAGGGCACAGGAGAGCTCTCCTGCCTGCTTACATCCAGGTCAAGCTCAGTCGTTGATGCTTCATCAGTGGGAGTGCTGATGGTCTGTGTCACCCTAAGAGACGACAGGGGAAATTGTCTGCTCGGTCTCCCTGTTGTGCCAAAGGTGCCTGTTGCCCCATACTGTAAGAGAGCTTTTCCTAATTCTTCACTGTCCTTTCTCACTGAAGCTTTCTGCGATCCCTCGCTGGCCCAGGGACTCGCAGCACATAGGAGCATTGAACCTGGGGCGCCTAATAGGAGGTAACTGAAAAATACCATTGGGTAATGCTGGTAAAGGAGCTACACCTGCAGGTCTGGGGCCTGAGGTAGGTAGGATAGCCATCAAGTATGCTGCTCCCTTCTCTGCTGGCCTCCTGGGCTCCCTCTTCTGTCCCGCTCTGCTCTCAGCCTCTGGGTCTGTTTTGCCACAGGAAGGTCCCAATTGTTGGGAAAGGGAACTCGACCCAGCTGGAGAATGCTGCTGCTGCCCCCGGCTCCAGCTGGGACACGCTGTCCCTGTGCTGTGCTCTCCACTGCTCTCCCTGCTCCAGCTCAGCTGAGCTTGCCTTTCTTGGTAGCTTCTGTGTGATGATCTACCGAGTTGCCTGTAGATTCCGGAAGCTGCATTTCCAGTTGCTTTCTCCTGTGGTGGTGCAAGGCAGAGTGTGGGCTGGGTTGGTTCTGGATGCTGGAGCCCTGGCTGTGGATTCCCACCTTCCCTCCTGCTGTCGCACCGGGGGAGCTGTGTGTGTCTGCCAGCTGGAGCAGTCAGCCCAGCATGACTGCTCTGACCCTGACGCCTGTCCACAAGCTGCCTGAGCTCCCTCAAAGTGCTCTTCCTGGCTCCTTGCAGTGCATTTTGTTTAAATGGAATAATAGCAATTTACGGGGGCAGAGCGTGTTGGTGTCTTGCCCACTGCGGACATCTGCCTCCTGATGGCAGGTTCCCCCAGACTGCAGCCAGCCTAATGATGAATTACAGTCCTAAGACCACTGTCACCCCTGGAAGGCTGTCACACAGTCCCTATTGGTATGGTTCCTGTCACCAGTTTTTTGGGCTCGATTCCATCCTCTTAAACCCTCCTAACTCACTTTCGGCTTGTTTCACCGTTATTATGTGATGCTTCTGTACTTCCAGCCGCCCGCGTTTGTTAGGAAACGGAGCACAGGACTTAGGAGGAAAGGCTGAGAGAACTGAGTTTGTTCAGTCTTAAGAAGAAGTTAAGGGGAGGCCTTACTGCCGTCTACCCCAGCAGTGGGAGGCTGTAGAGAAGATGGCGCCAGGCTCTTCTCCGAGGTGCACAGGGACAGGAGGCAACAGGGACAGACTGGAACATGGGAAATTCTGACTCAATGTAAAGAAACAAAACACGCTCTACCAAGAGGGTGGTGAAACACTGGAACGAGGGCACAGAAGAGGCTGTGAGATCTCCATCCTCGATGATATTCAGAACTCGGCAAGAGCATCCTGCTCTGACTGCATAGAGACCTCCAGACAGACCTATGTGTTTCTGCAAAATTTCTTGTCTGCTTTGAAGGGCAGAGTTCATTTGCCCACAATGTTTGTTTTAAATACTTGGCCCTCATGCCGGGGAGGGGAACAGTCACCAGGAAATGGTTTGCTAAATATACTTTTCCTATTTTCCTTCCCTCTGTAGCCATACTGTACAGTGTCATTATGTGGCCTCGGTGCTTGCTGCAGCATTGCAGTCAGGTCTATTTTGAGATGATGATGTGTGGGTAGAGCGCTCCGTCAGCCGGGAGGAAAGGTCTGGAGGCTTTCCCTTCCTTTCTGGCCTCTGCTTTCCATCAGCCCTTGATCACAGGGCAGCCAGTCTAAATGAGATGCTGCAAACTGTTTTTTGCTGGCTACCCTGAACGGAGTTAAGAGTTGAGAGCAGAGGCTCAAAACAACTTCCTATGTGACTTTGGGAGGCGGGGGCAGACAGACGCTGCGCTATTTGCTGGATGTGCGTTTGTGTGTGTGGTGCTGTTTCAGCCAAACACAAGCACTGAGTTTTATCTTGACCACAACGACTGTTCTTTTAGAGTAAACTTCAAAGTGACTGCACGTAAGATTATAAAGTAACAGAGGTCCTTGGTCAGAGGGGAAACCGGGCTGGTTGATGGCGCAGCTGTTGCCTTGGGAAGCTCTGTGGACGAGTCTCGTGTATGTCTGCTGGATGCTCCGACCCCGGAGGATTTGCGGAGGGAAGGATGAGCGACTGCCTGCAGGAGTGGCTGGGGGGGGGGCGCGCGCCGCACCGGGGCAACAGCGCTCCTGGCAGCTGGCTCCGCAGCTCCTTCCAGGTCTTGGCAGTCCCTGCAGGCCTCGGTAGAGACTACTGGAGCCTTATCCTCCCTTTTGGTTAAAAAAAAGAAACAATCAATTGCAGTTATTTAAAAAAACAACCCAACCTTTCTCTGCAGCCATGTTGCCTGCAGTTTAAATTTTGACATGGACGGAAGTCTCGTGGGAAAGAGAATTTTATTAGAAAAAGTACATGTTATCACTGAGACAGGGCGAGTTACATGCTGTTACGTGCTGTACGCAGCCAACAGTCGTGCACAGAACATGACGCATCACAACAGGCCAGGAGCTTCTGAAATCTCTCTCTCTTCCTTGCTGTCCCAGTCTTTAAACTCATCTGAAAACCTAACTACATTAGAGTCAATTAAGATGCATACAACCTGCTCTGTCTATTCTGTGCTGGCCAAAATGGGATAATAGCCTTCTCACAGGCATAATGCACCTGAGATTTTGCTGTGTAGTATGTCATCCCCAAGGCACTAAAGGCAAAGAATTAATTCTCCCTAGGAATCCCATTTTTGCTTCCTTTGATGGGGAGCCTCGCCACTGCTTAGCGGTGCACTGCAGTGCAGGCCGGAGCGCATCCCACGCAGATTTAAGGTGCTGTGCACCCTGTGTGCTCAGAGCATCGACTTTGTCCTAGCCCCGTTCCACAAGACTGGTTCAATCCTGCCTCTCAGACACAATCGTTAGCTTTACGGAACCACTGTCAGAAGCATCTTGGCGTTTTCTGGAAGTTTCCTGTAGTACCCCACGGGCCAGGCCCATCGCCTGGATGAAGTGGCAGCATTTAGGTAAGAATTGGATCTGATCCTGGATCAGAACAAAGGTCTGTGGTGCCCAGCGTCTGCTAATAGCAGATGCTTATGTGAGAGTAAGGAAAGGGCAGGTAAAACACTATCACCCTTTGTACTTGTCCAGTCTCTAACGCTGGCAGTTTGGGTGCTTTCCTGACCTCAGAGAGTGGTTTCTATAAGCCTCAGTACATTTTATTTCCTGTGGATTTTTCTGGTTTCTTCTGCATCTAATATTACAAAGTTAACAGGGCAGACTGAGGCAGGATCTGGTTAGAAAGCTTTGTTACTAAACTCCTGTAGGCTGTTGATTTGTTTCTGTTCGCTCCTCCTGTTCTGCAGGTTCCAGGCTTGCGTAGGGGGTACTTGCACTGTTCAGTGCACTGCAAATTCAAACGTACTATGTCCAAACCGCCCTAGGGCGGCCGGTTTGTAACAGTCTAGCGTGGGGTTTTAGTTTAAGCCTACCCACCGCTGCTTTTTCTCCAGCCTCCAGTTTTGATACCTAAGCAGAGGACAGTGATGGATGATGAAATGCTGTGTTGACTGGAGCTCTAGAAATCTTTTACATATGTTCAGTAACAGTAGAAAATAGGCCAAGCGCGCTCAACAATGCGTGAACGAAAGGCCTGAACTCACAATAAAGCACAGGAGGATGGAAAACCTGGGAGTTTTCTAAATACATCAGCGGCTTTTTTTAGAGAACGTGCTGTCGCTACAGCCCCTCCTCGAGGAGTTCCCGTGCGTTTCTCTAGAGATATGCCACAAAAAGAGCATTAGAAGTACTGATGCCAAAAATGAGAATTGAGAGCGCTTGTGAGTCTCCCTGCCTTGTACATAATGAGGCTGCCTTTAATTAGATTAGCCCGTGCAGTGTCTTTCCGGTTTGCTCAGGGCACAAAAAGGCTATCTTACCCAATAAGCAGTTTTGTTTTCCCTCCCCTTTACCATTTGGTGTATAGATCCAGGCCTTCTTTACAGAATACTAGTTCAACCCTGCTCAAAAGTAATTTTCTTGGGCTGCTTCCTGGGCTGAACATCACCGCGGTTGCCCGGGTGTGTTGTTAATTAACTTGCCTTCACAGCGGCACCGGGGGG